GTTCAAGAACTTCAATATTGTCCAATACATCTACTGGTTCAGTTTTGATTTGTATTTCTGGGTCGTCACTTGTAAGTGGTTCAGTTTTTATTGAAATTTCCTGGTCATCACTTTTAAGCGGTTCAGTTTTTATCAAAATTTCCTGGTCGTCACTTGTAAGTGGTCTAACATCTTCAAAATTGTCCGAAGTATTGACTGTATCTTCTGGCTCAGTTTTGATGGACATTTTCTGGGTGCCTAGTGAAAAAGTTCCTGTGTCACCTGTTACATCCAAGTTGGCTTCACTATAATTGTCAGAGTTATTATTGGAGGATTTACAAATTTCTCTCCAATAAGCAAGATTTGGCAACTCTGCAGATTCAGTGCCTGACTCATTGCTGTCCATTATCTGGTCCGATATTTTTGGTAGCTTTGCGTGTTTTTCCGATTCATCTGAATCTCTCTCTCTTTTCAAGTTTCTGATATAAATTTTCTCCGTTTCATTTACAGAATGTTTATGATGCAATCTTTTAGATGATTTTTTGCTCTTGTGATGTTTAGATTTGTGTCTTTTATGACCTGATTCTTTAGAAGAATGTGTGTGTTTTTGTTTTTTCTTTTTCCTCTTTTCCTTCACTCGTATTTCACTTCGACTTGAATCATTGGATTCATTTGAACTATTACAATCTTCCACATATTTTCTATCCTCTTTAAAGCTAACATCACTAGAATAATTCTTACTTGATCCTCTTGAGTGACATCTCTCAAAACTGTGCGACGAGGACTCATCTGGGCCATAAGAACCAAATGTCCTTAAATCCTCTTTGTCACTTTCATTACTTTCTGTTCTTACTCGTTTCTTAGGTCTGTGTTCAATCCTTTGGTTATGATCTGGACGATATTCATTTTCCAAAATTTGTCCAATTTCATCAAGTTTTGTTGATATGTCAATTGAATCTAAAGCTGCTTCACAGTGTGATTCAAAGGAACTCAATGATGAGGAACTGGCACAATTACTATGTACATTATCTTTGTCTACTACTTGGTTAGTTGATTTGTCAAGCCTCTGCCTTGGAACTATTTCTCTTTGCCAAGCTTTTTTTAAAATTACACTACTGTTTATTTTCAGAAAATGGCTTAACCCAAATTTAGAAGACAGCAACATTTCCCTTTGGATTTTCTGCCTAGAATATCTATTTGACCTTAACCTAGGATCACTACGACACCTTTCTTGACTAGACTGTTCTTGGTTCCTACTTCTATAGTTAGAAGATATCATGCCACTTGAACTGGGATTTTCAGACTGGCTGAAATAAATTTCAGCAGTTCTTCGTTGCTGAAAGCGGTCCATTTTGCAATAGGAAACTTCAATTTTCTAAGAGTTCATCAAAATAAAAATCACAATTGAATCTATTCACTGGCCTCTGGATAGCTTCTTGTGGCCTCATTGGCACCTGTCCTGCAAAGAAAATATTACATTAGAAAAACAATATCCATGTAAAGCTTAGAACTAGAGATTTAGTTCACCAGCAGGATAGCATACAATGGTATCCTCAGGTTGGTGTATGTCAATTGAGGAAGGGGTTTAACCCCTTAACTGCGTTGCCTCCAAATATGACACCCCCGCAGTGCGCAGGAAATAAATTCTCTGGAATTTTTTTTTTTTTTTTAAAGTGTCAAAAACCCTTTCCTCAGTATGGGTATGTAAAAAAAAAAAAAAAAAAAAAAAAAAAAAAAAAAAAAAAAAAAAAAATTGTATTTTGGCTGCTATGGGGTCCGTAAGTTGGCGCGTGACGTCGTCATTCCCCATTCGCCTATGACATAGGCTCCCGAGGCCAGTAGGGCGCCCGGGACAGGACGCGCAAATTGCCGTGAATATATTTGTTCATTTTTTTTTGCGCACAGTTGTAAATACATTTTATTTGTTTTTACGTGCTAATCTTATGTATAATGAACACGTACACTATACAGTATTATGGCAGTAAAACATTCGTACTGTCCGAAGACACTGTTACGTGCATGACACTTGTGTACACATATGCTGCACATATTTACTATGCATCATGCTAATTTATGTATATATACAATCTATTTACAAACTATACAATGTCACACACTATATACATTCACAATCAACACACTCTGACCACCTCGAGTGAGAGCAGCCACACCCAGCCAGTCTCCCTCACTCCAACATCTTACTCGCCAACATTGCTCCTCCCACCATTCTGTTATTGTTCTTATTACACCAATTACACATGTTATATATATATATATATATATATATATATATATATATATATATATATATAGATATAGATATATATATATATATATATATATATATACATACCTATCTACACGTTTTATTTACCAGAACTATGCAAGTAAGCCAGTATTGTGTCCAAACAGTACAGTGGCCACAATACACTGCATGAAAAATCACACAGCAGACGACGCTACGATTACTATGTCACCATCCCTCACCAAAATAGCTCTCAACATTCTCCTGTTGCTGTTATTACACTATATACACACTGTATATACCCATGTACATATGTGTTGCCCATAGCGACCCATTAAGCTAGTATGGCGAGTATCACGGGGCCTGGTCTTACTGACGTTATCAGCAGTGATACGTTATTGTTGTCATAGAGAGCTAGTGAGAATTTGGTAGTGGTGGTCCTTACAATGTTGTCTAGGGAGTATGAGGAGTAAGGGAAACAGCCTAGTACACAAGTCACAAATTTATACGTACAAGTCACACAGGATTACATTTAACAAGGCGATTTCCTTACAACATAAGATCACTATGTATTATAAACTCAAGTGGCTCTGACCACCTCACGGCTCACTGTCCCATTCCTGGTGTCATGCACCCAGCCACAAACCGCTATCATCCAACGACATATATTTTTGCCTCTAGGAAACCTGGACTCCTATAAAACCTCTCCAACTTCTGTAATATTACTCTACCCAATCTTGCAACCCTGGATATAGACAAGGATAGGCTTATCTGACTGAACGGCCGGAGAAAACCCCTCAAATAGCAGGAACGGTCGGCAGCGATACACCTCCCCCTTCAGTCAAGATGGCGTCCACCTCTCTTGCCTCATCGCCCCTTAATACTCTACTCTACTCTTTACATATGCTATCAAACACATTAATGATTTTATTTACTATATTCCCCCATGCATACTTTTTTATAGAGTGCATTTTTCCCTTACATAGTAAAGCTATTCAAGTTCACATTATTTCTGATGATCTCCAGCTGAGAATGCACTACTTTACTGGGCAGAGTAATAATGGTGACTCACGGACTCTGATCTCGGCTGGGGATTTATATTAATATACACTCTCCCTGTGTCCACCAACATTTTACAACCGAAACCAACCTCCACAGGAGGTAAGGTTCGTAACACCCCTCCTATGCCATGGAGAAAAAAAAAGGGAAATTCTTAAAGGAATTTCACTTTTTTTTTTTCACATAACTAACACCTCAAACAGATTTCATAGTAATTGTAAAGAAACAGTAAATGATATATAATAAACACTAGATACACAAGAATATATACATCTCTGAGCAATAGTACAACCCTAAGTCACCCCAGGTTTTGGCAATCTAGAAAGTGCATCTGCTACTACATTTAATTTTCCTGGAATATGTTTGATAACCAGATTGTACTCTTGCAGCAATAAAGACCACCTTAATATTCTCTGGTTGGAATTCTTCATGCTAGCAATAAATGTTAAGGGGTTGTGATCAGTAAACACTTCAACAGTATTGGCTGATAAATAAATGTCAAATGTTTTAACAGCTAGTAATAATGATAAAGCCTCCTTCTCCACTGTGGAGTAATTCTGTTGACATTTAGTAAATTTTTTAGAATAGTAATGTATTGGATGATTAATACCCTCATCATCTTCTTGCATTAGCACAGAACCAGCACCCCAGTCCGAAGCATCTATATATAGTTTGAATGGCTTAGAGTAGTCAGGAGTAGCTAACACTGGACCAGATGACAACATTCCTTTTAGTTTAGTAAATGCATCCTGACATTCCTGAGGCCATCTAAACTTTACATTTTTACACAGCAAGTTTGTCAAAGGAGCTGCAATTGCTGCAAATTTTTTACAGAACTTCCTATAATAAGCACACATTCCTAGATATCTTTGCACCTCCTTCTTGCTAGTCAACACTGGATACTCTAATATATCATTTACTTTTGAGTGGTAACACCTTCCCATTTCCCACTTCATATCCTAAGTAAGAAATACTAGCTCTAGCAAAAGTACATTTATATAAGTTTACAGTTAAATTAGCCTCCTTTAAGCATTTTAATAGTTATAGCCAAACCTTTCATATGGTCCTTCCAATTATTGTGAAAAATTACAATATCATCCAAGTAAGCTCTACATTGTGGTATGTCTTTTAACACCAAGTTCATAAGACGCTGGAAAGTTGCTGGGGCATTTTTCAGCCCAAAAGGCATTATAATGAATTCATACAACCCATCTGCAGTTATAAATGCACTCATCTCCCGAGCTCTTGGTGTTAAAAGGAATTTGCCAGTACCCTTTTGACAAATCTAGTTTGGTTACAAACTTGGCTTTACCAACACTGTCAATACAATCATCTAATCTAGGTATTGGAAAGTTATCATCAACAGTCATTACATTTAGCTTACGGTAGTCAATGACCAACCTGTGAGTTCCATCTTTCTTTGGAACCAAAATACAAGGACTACTCCAACTGCTGCTGCTAGGTCTCGCCAATCCATGTTGAAGCATGTAGTCGACTTCTTTCCGGATGAGATTCAACTTGGTAGGGTTGACTATATGGGTGTGACTTGACTGGTTGGTTGTCGATCACCTCGATGTCGTGGTGAATAACTGTAGTCTGGGTGGGAACATCGCCAAAGATGTCTGCATGAGAAGTCAGCAACTGCTCCAAGTCCTGCTTCTGCTCTGATGACAAATGTTCCACCATTTTCTGGACATTATCCAACCACTCCCCATTGCTAAAATAAGGTACATGAGCATTAGGTACACTATTAAAATCACATTCCCCATTATTCTCATCTACATGGGCTACACTAAGCACCTGGTTGGTTTTGGTAGTTCCACTTCTGTGTTAGTTTCCTCCTATTCACATGCACTACTATTTCCTTTCTCTTGAGATCAGGTGTTTGGATTACATAATTGGTGGGACCGAGTTTCTTTATCACTGTATAAGGACCTTGGAACCTATGCAACAATGTTGGTCCCTGTCGTGCCATTAGTACCACCACTTTATCACCTGCCTCAAAATGTCGTTTCTTTGTCTTTTATCGTACTGTGCCTTCATTTTTCCTTGAGCTTCTTTAACATGAATCAAGGCTTTAGCCCTGTTTTTATTTAACTTATCTTGTAAGTCATGAATATAGTTTACCTGCACAACACTCTTTGGATTTCCGACCAACTTATCTCTTAAGATGGTTAGTGGACTTCTCACCTCATGGGCAAAAACTAATGAGTTGGGTGAACACCCCAGGGACTCTTGATAAGTATCCCTCAGTGCCATGAGCATCAGTGGAAGACCATCATCCCAGTCTCTGCCAGTTTCCATACAACTGGTTCTCAGCATTTGCTTAAGGGTTTGGTGCATCCTTTCCAAAGCACCTTGGCTCTCAGGATGGTAAGTAGTGGATGTCTTATGGAGGATGCCAAACTCCTCACAAAACTGCTGAAAACCTTTGGAAGTGAAATTTGCCCCATTATCTGTCTGTATTACTTTTGGTAAACCAAAAATAGTACAAAATTACATTATGTGCCATAATAACATAATGAAATAATAGTACATTATTTCATTATGTTCATTACGTGGTGATGATATAAATATTACCACTCTTGGTTCTAGGCAATGGGCCTACTACATCAACAATAATATGGGTAAAAGGTTCCTAGGCTACCACAATTGGCTGTAAAGGAGCTTTTGGTATTACCTGGTTTGGTTTGCCAGTTTTTATACATACTGGACATTCATTACAATACTGGACGACATCTTTCTTTAATCCAGGACAGGTAAAGTACTTGCTTATTTTATTATATGTTTTTGCAATACCCTGATGACCGCCTATTGGTGAATCATGGGCTACACTTAGCATTTTTTTCTATAACCCCTCGGTAGGACTACTTGATTAACTACCTCCCAAGTGTGTGACACAGGGGAGCTCCTAGGTCTCCACTTCCGCATCAACACCTCTTTAGTGTAGTAATAAGTCATAGCCTCCGATTCTGCTTCTAGTTCAGTTACTGCCTTATTATGCAAGTCGGTCAATGTAGGATCAGTTCTTTGCTGATGAATAAAATTTGATTTTGATCTCAAGTCTGAAGAGCCTGATGTGGTAACTGGACTACACTCTCCCCTACCCCTTTTCCTAGGTGGTTTGGTGGAGGTGCTCCCCATCCTGTTCCCATCTGCTTCTTCCAACTTGGCCATAAAAGTGTCACAAAGATCCACTTCACTATTTGATTTGTTAACCTCTAATTTTGTCTCCTGACTTACATTATTGGGAGTTTGTGATATTCGAGACTCGCATATTTGACTGGGTCACGGCACATGCTGGGTACATTACCTTGTCCTCAGGATCTGCCCATGCCCTAATCACCTCTGGCTTAGTTAGCATTATTGGGTGGTCATCTCTCTTAACTCTATTACCAGCAAGATCATTCCCCACAATTAGATCAATGCCAGCAACTGGTAATTTAGGACTAACACCTACTAAACTTTTGCCTTTAACCCTTAAACTGCGCAACGCGCCTGCAGGCTCGCGTCTGGTTTGCGCAACGCGCCTCCAGGTATTTTGATTTTTCACGTTCCATTCAAAACTGGCGCGCGGTGACGCGGGTATGGTATGGGTGGGTGGGGGCCCCAATGATCGTCCGCCATCTTAAAAAAAAATCCCAGCATGCCCTGTGGCCGTGGGGAGCCTCAGTTTCACGGCAGCAACCATGTCTGACGCATCCTCTACGAGCTCCCGCTCCACGGTGACCCACGGTCATGGAAAACGACTCTCTGAGGAGGAAATACGCGATATTTTGTATGATGACGGTGCTCTGGATGATGACCTGGACTATGATCCAGATAAAGACCTAACTCAGAGATCTGATACGAGTGAGGAAGAGACAGAATTGGAAGATGTGGCGAGTGTGTGGGGTACTCGTGCCTCGCCCGGCCTGCCTCGCCGCCCTGGGTCAACACCGTTATCATCACCACCATCATGTATGTCCCCAGACGCTAGTAGTTTATTCAGTGATAGTACATGTGACGAATCTTTCTCGGGCTTCAGTGACATTGGCTCCGATACGAGTAGTGTGGACGACCCGAGTACGAGCAGTGGTGGTGTTACCAGGCGGGGTTTTGCTACCTCAGCAACACGCCGCGGCAGGCGGCAGCGTGCCTCACAGCATGTGGACAACGACAGTGGCCCCTCATCATTTATTCGTGGTAGGTCTACAGAACGTAAATCTGCCTCAGCGCCTAGCATACCCTCACGCAGCTCCAGCAGAAGCAGCGGACGACGTAGCCGTAGTTTTGGTGCTCGTGGTGGTGTTGGCCGTGGTGTTGGCGCCAACACCAAATCCCCTGGTGTACTTGTGTGGGAGGATTGCACCACATTTGCCCCTCAAATACCAACATTTGATGATAGCGATTTTGGTGTTACACCATTATTCCCATATACTGGTGATGATATGGCAGACATGGAATATTTTCAGGCATATTTTCACAATGTATTCATGACGCATCTTGTGACCGAGACAAACAGGTTCGCTCACAGCCTCATAGACGAAGGCATTTTACCTGCCTCACGGCTCACACGATGGAAGGACACGACAATCGACGAAATGTACGTGTTTCTGGCACTCACCATGATGATGAAGCACTCTGAGAAAGCTGTCATCCAGGAATATTGGAGCAAAGACAGCCTTGTTCCAACGCCTGTGTTCAACCGGTACATGTCGCGTGATAGGTATCTCTTGATTCTCAGGTGCCTGCATTTCGAGAATAATGCAAATGAGGACAGACACGACAGACTGTGGAAAGTACGGAAGATGTTCAGTGACATGAGAGGGAAGTTCAGTGATTATTTTGTACCTGGACAGAATGTGGTTATTGACGAGTCGCTTGTACTGTTCAAGGGGCGACTGGCATTCAAGCAGTACATTCCATCAAAGCGGCACCGATTTGGACTGAAGTTTTTTGTGCTATGCGACTGTGAGACTGGTATTGTCTTGGACATTATATTATATTCTGGTACAGACGTCGACATACCGGCTCAAGATGAACACGGGTTCTCTGACAGTGTTGTAAAAACCCTGATGGAACCGTTGCTGAACAAGGGGCATGTACTGTACACCGACAACTATTACACCAGCCCCTTATTGACCAGATACCTCCTTGCCCACAACACCGGCATATGTGGCACTGTGAAGAGCCATAGGAAGGAAATGCCAGTGTTCGGTATAGCTATAGCCGTGGGTGAGTGCCAGCTGAGCAAGTGTGACAATACGCTGTCAGTGCGGTGGAAGGACAGACGCGAGGTGAATATGCTGAGTACGATTCACACCGGTGCCTTGTTGGACAGTGGGAAAGTCCACTTTCAGACACGCAACACCGTGTATAAGCCAGACTGTGTCATAGACTATAACGTGAACATGCGCCTCGTCGATAAGTGTGACATGATGCTTGGTGGAGTGGAGTGTGTGCGCAAGTCTGTGAAGTGGACTAAAAAGTTCTTCTTCCACCTGATGGATGTTGCAGTGCTCAACTGCTTCAATATGTACTTAGTAAAATCTGGCAGGAGACCGTCTAAATGTACATTCAGTGCTGGTGTTGTGTCACAGCTGCTAGTAAAGTATGGCAAGGAGGGTTCTGTTGTACCGCGCGGAGTGCAAGCAACAATGCCACATGCAGCTCCAGACAGATTGAGGGGTAATGAGAACTTCGGAGTACATATGCTCGAGTATATGCCAGGCACAGCATCACAGGAGAAGGGTAAACGTGCCTGTATAGTATGCAGGAACACTACCCGCAGAGAACAGAAACGAAGATGTATCAGCACCTGGTGCGTGGAGTGCAAGGTGCCACTCTGCCCCGTTGGCTGTTTCGCAGCATATCACACACTCGCGGAGTACTGAGTGTGTTTATGGTGTGTGTATATAGTGTGTGATACTGTACAGTGTGTATATAAAGTGTAAATATAAATTTATTTGGCACGATACACTGGAAATTGTGCAGGATAAGTGAAGTTGTTTGTGATGCACGTAACACAGTGTCTACGGACAGTACGTATGTTGTACTGCGATATTATAGTGTACGTGTTCATTATACATTGGATTGGCACATAAAAACAATGAAAATGTATTGGGAAATGTGCGCAATAAATGAACAAAAATATATTCGCGGCAACTCGCGCGCCCCGCCCCGAGCGCCCCACCGCCTCTGAGAGCTTACACCACGGGCGCACGGGGAATGATGACATCACGCCCCAACTTCCGGACCCCATAGCACCCAAAGTAAGTACAATTTCGAATTTTGTTTTACATACCCATACTCAGGGAAGGGTTTTTGACACTTTAAAAAGAAAAAAGAATTTTTTCCAGAGAATTTATTTCCTGCGCACTGTGGGGGTGTCACATTTGGAGGCAACGCAGTTAGGGGGTTAATAAAATCACAGTCTAGGTTTACTTCTCTCAAGTGTACAGTCTGGAAATCTCCTGTGATTCCCTGTATAATCATTACCTCCCCAGTCTCTGTAGACTGTATATATGGTAACACGCTCTCTAATAATAAAGATTGGGATGCTCCTGTATCCCTCAAAATTTTAACATGCCACAAACCATTTGCACATTTTATATCAAATGGAAAATTACACTCTCCAAAATGATTTATAGCAAGTGCTTTTTTCCCCCATTATTTTTGTTACACATTTGGTTTTCCTCCCATCACACATTGTGAGTGCCATAGGCCTCTTTTCTG